GCTGTTTAGGGGGTGCCTAGGGGGCTTAGGATCCAAAAAAAACTCAACACACCACTTAAACATACCCTTTAAAGAAATTAAGGGGTATGGCACAAGCCTTATGTTCTCCGTTTAGAGGTTAAGCAGAAGTTTGGGGTATGTTGAAGTTTTCTTAGATGGGAGGCTGAGGTGCGCTCGAGCGAGCGAGCGCAACTCGAGCTGCGCCGCGGCTGGCACAACTGTTCTCGAGGCGGTGGACAGATTTTTTCTCCAGCGTCTCATCATATGGGGTTTAGGGTTTAGGGTTATAGGGTTTAGGGTTTAGGGTTTAGGGTTTAGGGTTTAGGGTTTAGGGTTTAGGGTTTAGTGGCAAGGGACTTGCACGTGTCTGTCAAGCGTATGCAGCCGCACTCCCCTGTTAAGTACCTAAGCCCTAAACCCTAAACCCTTAGGGTTTAGGGTTTAGGGTTTAGGGTTTAGGGTTTAGGGTTTAGGGGTTTAGGGGTTTAGGGGTTTAGGGGTTTAGGGGTTTAGGGGTTTAGGGGTTTAGGGGTTTAGGGTTTAGGGTATAAAAACCCTAAACCATCCCAAACAAATAGCTGCTAGGCTGCAAGCTCCCAAGCCAATGTCTCCCCCAGCCACAACAAACCTAAACATGAGTCTACAGGGTGGGGCCCCCTTACTATACTAACTGTAGTTAAGGGACTTATAACCTAACTTAGGGTCCTTATAACCCAATTTAGGGCCCTTATAACTCTACTTATAACTAGGGGGCCCCACCCTGTATCAGTTGGCACCCTCAACCTCTGAAAAGGGATAAGGGTGTAGGGCAAGTGCAGGGCTTGAGGGTTTTTTTCGGTTCAGGGCTTGTTAACCCACCCAAACAAGACAAGTGCACAACAAGTGTGAAATCTGCCAATAAGGCCTACCTGGATGTAATAGCGGCTCCACACCCCAAGGCCCGCACGGCATGCATTTCGTTGTCGGCGCCAGCCTAGCTTGAGTTTGGGGATGTTTAGTTTAGGGTTTAGGGTTTGGGGTTTCGGATTTAGGTTCGGGGTTTAGGGTTTGGGGTTAGGGTTTAATTAGGGTTCCTAGGGTTTGGGGTCTGTGTGCAGTGTCCACCTTCGCTGGCATCGTCCAGGACCCTCAATCCATACAAGCCCGAAACAGGAAACACCCTCAACCCTAAACCCTAAACCCTCAACCCTAAATCCTAAGCCCTCCCTCCAACCCTGAACCCTCAGCTCTGAGCCCTGAGCCCTAAGCAGGCCCTGAGCCCTCAGCCCTAAGCAGGCCCTAAGCCCAAAGCCCAATGCACAAAGCCCTAAGCCCTAGCCCGATTGCACAGGAACTGTGCGGCTTTCAAATGCCTCAAGCTCCAGATGCGTGTGTGTGCACGTTCAGGGTATGTAGGCCCGAGGATTTGGGGTTCAGGGTATGGTCTTGACATGCTCACTTGATCCTCCAAGTTTAGGGTTTAGGGCATAGGGTTGAGGGTTTAGGGTTTAGGGTTTGGTACACTTAAACCCTGGCTAAGGGGCCTTGGTGCAGCAGGTCTGTGCGCTGAAGGTTTAGGACTTATAGTTTAGGGTTTAGGCTTGAGGGATACTTATAGGGCCCTTGAGAATCTCAACATTGCGTGTTGTGGCGATTGCTTTGTGAAGAAGGGTTGAGGTTGACAGGGCCTGGCCTAAACTTTAAAGCAAACCTTTTGGGGTTTAGGGTTTAGGGTTAAGGCCGTTTTCGCCAGAACCACTGCGAGCCTCGCAAGAACCACAGGAAAAGCTAGGATCTGGACTATGAGCATGGCAAAGGGCAGTAGCCACACCTCACCTGGGCGCGTTTTCATGAGTTCTTAGAGTTTAGGGTTTAGGGGGTGTGGGATCCTCGTTTTTCGCGGGGGTTGCAGGGGCTTGGGGGGGTGAGTTTTGTTGTTTCAGTTGGTGGGTTTGGCGGCGCAGGGTTTGGGCGTCCTTCTATTCATAGAGTGGACGGGGGACTTTCTGTCGGCTGTTTGGGGTTACTTGGAGGCATGGGTACTTATTGGTAGGGTTATCAGCAGAACCTTACTTACAGCACTTAAAACCCTACTTTACAAAACCCTACACCCTAGACCCTACAACCCTGAACCCTAAACCCTGATTTGGGTGCAGGGCTTGCAGGGTTCAGGTTCAAAATGACATGAGATGAGCCGTTCTTCTGTTGTCTGTTTTGTACATCTCCACTTGGGAGTCGCGTATGCACGTGAATGGGTTTCGGGTTTAGGGCTCATGGATCCCAGCAACATATCCAGCCTTCCATGGTTGGAAATTATTTCCCGGATGCGTCCCGAGACGAAACACGCTAAACCCGAAACCCTAAAACGCTGAAATCCCAAACCCTAAAACCCTAACACCCCTACCCTAGAAACCCTAGAAACCCCAAAACCCTACAAACCCTAAGCCCTAAGCCCTAAGCCCTAAGCCCTAAGCCCTAAGCCCTAAGCCCTAGGCCTTAAGCCCTAAGCCCTAAGCCCTAAGCCCTAAACCCAGTTCCTGAATGCTTTCTGCTTTCGCCTCTTGGGCCGACTCGTGGGCTGGGGCGAAGGTTTGGGGGACCCGATGAAACCCTCCACCATCCACTGGACCCAGGTTTATACAGGAACCCTAAACCCTAAACCCTAAACCCTAAACCCTAAATCCTAAACCCTAAACCCTAAACCCTAAATCCTAAACCCCAAACCCTAAAACCTAAGCCCTAAGCCCTAATCCTAAACCCCCCTAAACCCCCCTCGAAACATGGCCCACTCTAGGCCTGAGTCCCGTTCATTTCCCCATGGCTCTTAGTGGGGAGTGAGGGAATTAGGCTCCTAACATCCCCCTAGGGTTTAGGGTTTAGGGTTTAGGGTTTAGGGTTTAGGGTTTAGGGTTTAGGGTTTAGGGATTATCTAGGTTGCCCAGTAACCTAGGTTGAAAAAGGGTGCCCCTTTTTTTGCTTAAAGGGGTTACAGGGAACCTAAACCTACCCAAAAAGGGGAATAAGGGTACTACTGGGCATCCTAGCTATGTAGGCTACCTCTCAGAACCAAGTTATAAGAAGTTTATCAGGGAACCTCAGCCTTAAACAAGGAAATAAGGGCCTACTCTGGGTCCTAGTAAGCCTGAACCCTGAACCCTAAACCCTGAACCCTGAACCCTAAACCCTAAACCCTAACCCCAAACCCTAAACCCAAAACCCAAAAACTAAGAACCCAGTTGAATTAAGAGTCGGGCCAATCATGAGGACGACCAAGAGGCCGTCGAAGACGAACCTGCCATCCAAGCCGGTGCGTAGGGTCTAGGGTTTAGGGTTTAGGGTTTAGGGTTTAGGGTTTAGGGTTTAGGGTTTAGGGTTTAGGGTTTAGGGTTTAGGGTTTAGGGTTTAGGGTTTAGGGTTTAGGGTTTAGGGTTTAGGGTTCAGGGCTCAGGGTTTTGGGTTTTGGTTGCCCGGGTTTAGGGTTTTTGTTGCACAGTAACCACATTATAAGCAGGGTACCATTTTGAAAGTAGGGTTTATAAGTATACCCCCCCCCAGCCCTAAGACCAAAAGCCATACCCCACTTGCTTCTTAAAGCACCCATGAACCTCCAAGTAGAGGGCCCTCACAACTCGTTCGCCCAAACCGGTTCTAAGTAGGGAATGAAGGAAATCGGTAAGAAAGGTCATTCGCTATTTCGGAATGATTAACCCTAAACCCTAAGCCCTAAACCCGAAATCCTAAACCCTAAGCCTAAACCCCAGATCCAAACGTAAGGCTGCGGATCGCGCCAGAAGTCTCGACGACAATCCTGCTTTCGGCGAAACCTGATCTTCGAGGGTTAGGGTTTAGGGTTGAGGGTTTGGGGTTTGGGGTTTAGGGTTTAGGGTTTAGGATTTAGGGTTTAGGGTTTGCGGTTTAAGGTTTATGGTTCAAGGTTTCGGTTGTTTCGTGGTTGGGATTTCGAGTATAGGCTGTAAGGTTTATGGTTTTTCGAGTTTTATGTACTATTATTGTGATGTATGTATGTATGTATGTATGTATATATATATATATTATTTTTTTGGGGGGGACGGGTCAGCGGGGCTTGCAGGCGAAGGGGAACTTCGTGTTCGGGTGTTCGGAGGTTTGCGAGGGTTTGGGGTTTCGGAAATTGGGGGGGGGGGGGGGGGGGGGGGGTTTGGAGTTCATGAGTTCCAGGCTGAGCAAACTGGTCAGCTGCTTCCTTTTTTTGGGGTCCAACCCTACCCCCTAAACCCTAAACCCTGAACCCGAAGCCCTGTTGACATGGAAGGCCAACAGAATTAATCCCTGAGCCCCGAACTCAACGGCAGCATTGACACAAAAGTCAGGCCTACACTTTATTCAAGCCAGACGGCGACCCTCGATTGGGGAGAAAGAGTCTTACAGAAGCTTCGGAATCTGGGTCCCTAGAACACCTATAGGGTCCCTAGAACACCTAGGGTACCTGGCGTACCTAGGGTACCCAGGGTCAAGGTTGTAGGGTTTCAGGGTACAGTGACATCACCGCTTAAGAAATCGTTTGCTCAAGCAACATGCACCCTCGCGTGGGGACCATACGAAACTTAAGAGCAAGACTTAGCCAAGAACCGATGGTACCCTCCTCCTGGGGAGCACAATTTCGTAGTTTTTGGTTGCAAAACAAAACCCTCTCAGTTTCTTGAATTTAAGATTTTTTGAAATCCGGCCCCTCAGTTCTTAATTTGGCGGGCCTGTCCTCGCCAAATGAGAAACCAGCCCTTCAAACCCTAAAACCTAAACCCTAAACACTAAACCCTCGTAAATTTGAGAGGCCGGAAATCAGGGCAACACCAACAAGCCCAAGGTACCCTCGCCAAAAGTAGGCTTCTTATCCCACGCTGTCAGTGCAACATAAACCCTAAACCCTAAACCCTAAACCCTAAACCCGAAACCCGAAACCCTAACACATCAATCAGGCCTGCGAAGTGCGGGTTTAGGGTTCAAGGAGCTCATGCTCCGCGGGAGACTGCTAAGCCCCGCGCGCACAGAAGCGGATGACCTGGGTGCTGGCTGCAGATTGGTTTAGGGTTTAGGGTTTAGGGTTTAGGGTTTAGGGTTTAGTGTTTAGGGTTTAGTGTTTAGGGTTTGAGGCTAGGGTTTGGGGTTTGGGGTTTGGGGTTTAGGGTTTAGGGTTTTGGGCTTAGGGCTGAGGGTTTAGGGTTTAGGGTTCAGGGTTTAAGGACCCTTTGAGGGCACAGCAAAGCTTAGGAATGCGAGCTCGGCTTCCTTGATTCTGCCCGAATTTGGGGTACGATAAGGGTCGGAATATACTTACTGATCGTATTCCCTAACCCTAAACCCTAAACCCTAAACCCTAAACCCTAAACCCTAAATACTAAAACCTCCCAAATCCTTGTAAAAAATAAGGCCCCTATAGTACAGGGTTTAAGTTTAGGGTTGGGGTTCCCTAAACCAAGCTCCAAGCGCTAAGGGCTAGTAGGGGCTAATCTTATGCAGGGTGGGCGGCTCGGGTGCGTCTAGCATCAGCAAACCTCCTCGTGAGCCCAAACCCTACAACCCAAAACCCTGAGGCATAACCCTCAACCCTAACAGTGCCAAACTAGCCTCACACATCAAGCCCTAAAACCGTAAACGCGACCCCCCCCCCCCCCCCCCCCCACCGGAGCCCCTAAAATCCCAAGCCCCGCCCCTAAAGCCAAGCACCCCTGAACCCCTGAACCCTTGCACCCCTGAACCCCGGAACCGCGGAACCCCTACACCCTAAACCCTGAACTGAACTGAGCACCCCCGAACCGTCCGGGCTCCGCACTATCTCCATGGTAAAGACGAAGCAAAAGATATGCTCGATGGCCTCTTGGGTGTGGGTTTAGGGTTTAGGATTTAGGGTTTCGGATTTAGGATATAGGGTTTAGGACTAGGGTCTAAAGTTTAGGGTTTAGGGTTTTAGGGTTTAGGGTTTAGGGTTTAGGGTTTAGGAGCCTGAGCCCTGCCTACACCCTAAACCCGAAGCCTTTGAAGCGCAAAAGTCCTCAACATCCACCCTAAACCCTAAACCCTAAACCCGAAACCCTAAACCCTGAACCCTAGACTCATATCAACCCTACTTCCTGAACCCCACAACCCTACAAACCCTAAACCCGAAGCCCTAAACTACCGAAGCCCTAACCCTATAAACCCTCATGCCTCACTGGGAACCCACACACCCTGAAGCCCGAACCCTAAGCCCAAAAAGCTCCAAACCGTCAAAAACCCCCAAGTCCACTGGGAAGGCCGTTGGGAGATCCTATATGTTCCCTTATTATTGGGGTCTACAAGAATACTACTTTAACAAGTCTTTTTGAACTCTAGTAGCACCAGAAGACTATAGCCCGGACGCACAGAAGGAAGCCCTAACAGGCCCAAAACCCGAAACCCCAGGGCCTTGCAGCCGTAAACCCGAAACCCTAACCCCAGTACAATTTTGATGTATATGTTTGCGTCTTGAGGGTTCAGGGTTTAGGGTTTCGGGATGCTTGACTCAGATGTGTTTTATGGGGGGGGGGAGGGTGGTTAGATTTAAGACAGAAGTTTGCCGCGTTCAGGTTGGACACCCCCCCCTAAACCCTAAACCCTAAACCCCTAAACCCCCTTGACAAGTGTCGGGCCGTCTGCTCGGCATTCAGCGCATTCATGCTGGTTCTGTTCGGGGCATCTGCCTCCACACCTAGGCACAAGGGGCTTATGGCTTGGGACTGGGTTTAGGGTTTAGGGTTTAGGGTTTTGGGTTTCGGGTTTAGGGTTTAGAAGTCAGGGGGCATCCAGTGCGAAGCACCCTAAACCCAAACCCCCGGTGCATACCCGTACAAGATGAGCCTCCTTGACCCTACACTCTGAACTGAACCCTAAGTACGCTAAAGCCTAAGCACACTAAACCCAAAAAACCCAAAAACACCTAAATCCCCCCCATGGCCTGATATGGAACACCACAACACTCTCTTGCCGGGACTTCTGCTTTCTTCGACCGTAAACGCTGCCAAATAGGCTAGACTCCCATGACCCTGAACCCCCAATTCCTACGCCCCTGAGGCTAAACGTCAAAAGGCCAAAGCCATCAACTCTAAACCCTAAACCCTAAACCCTAACCCTAAACCCTAAACCCTAAACCCTAAGCCCTAAGCCCTAAACCCTAAACCCTAAACCCTAAGCCATCATCCAGAAGATGGGCCTAAGGCTGAAGATTCATCTTGCAATCGAAATTCAGAGGGCTCAAAGGAAGCAACGCCTGAACGTGACAGGATGGACCCTGCTTACTGGTACTTCTTTAGGGTTTAGGGTTTCGGGTTTAGGGATCAGGGTTTAGGGGCACTTCTTAACCATTTAGAACTGTACTTATCACACACTTACAAGCCCCTTTGAGTGCCCTAATATGGTTATAAGTACAGCTATAATATTGGTTAATAATAACCATGAAGGGGGGCACTTGGCTTTCACCTGTAAGGCTGAGGTTTAGGGTTGCGGGCTTGGGGTTGAAGTACCCTTAACCCTAAACCCTAAACCCTGAACCGCCCGAACCCTTGAAGCCCGTGAAGCAATCAGTCTTCCGGTTCGCAAACAATCGCTTCAAGTCCTGAAGCCGCACATTAGGGTTTAGGGTTTAGGGTTTAGTGTTTAGGAAAAGAACTACCCACATGAACCTCCCTAAACTCCAAACCCTGCGGCTCCGCGCCAATCCACACCGCGTTCAGAAGCACGACCTGGGTGAGCATCCTAGGGGGACCCTTAAGGTTGTGCCCTTGGGTTTTCGGGGCCCTTCTCAAAGATCCCAAAGGTAGTAGGGCCGTATTCGGAGTATATTATATAGCGGGAACCTTTAGGGATACAGCCTAAGGGGTACGAGTCTTCATCCCTTGAAGACTCCAGGGGTGGGTTTAGCCTTCAGGGTTTAGGGCTCCCTTTCAGAACCCAAAGCCTATGTTTTGGTAGGTTACGAATGTAATGCCCCTTATAGGATTCTTAGGTATCCTATAGGGTTTAGGAGTAATCAGTTTACTCCCGGAGCCTAAAAACCCTAAAGCGTTAAACGACAACATCTATATACATATATATATATACACATATACACACATATCTTATCCCCCGAAGTATGAAATCAAAAGCTTAATAGTAGGCTGTATACACAGTGAGGATATGTCATGTTTGGGAGAACTGGCCGGGCAAGTTATTCGGGAAAGCAAGCTTCCATCCCCCAAAAACCCTAAACCCTAAACCCTAAACCCTTAACCCTACAAGCCCCGAAGCTCTGAACCCTAACCGCCTGCGGCAGAGAGGCCAGTCGAGCTCCAGTGTTGCAGGTGTTTTGGTGGGTTTCTTGAGGGGATGTAGCTCTTTGGACTTTAAACCCTCCGACATGAAAAAAAAAACCTAAGACATAAAACAAAAAACACATTACTGGACCCAATAAACCCTGAACCCAAAGCAGGGTGTGCTCATTCGATTTCTGAGGTCTTTGCTGCTTCGAAGGGCCAAGTACTGTTGGACTACACGTTCCAGCGCATCATCTGACACTAAACCCTAAACTTAAACCCTAAACCCTAAAGCCTGAACCCTGAACCCTGAACCCTGAACCCTAAACCCTGAACCCTGAACCCTAACCCGCATGGCCCCCGGCTGCCATGGAAAGTAGGAAGAAGGTGTTGCTCTTGGCAATGGCGGCGAAGCAACCTATCGGGGACTAGTGTAGAGGGTTTATAAGGTACAGGGTTTAGGGTTTAGGGTCTAGGCTGGACCCGGTAATTCCTAGAGCTCTCGTGAGGAAATAGACACCGTGCCGTTCTGATGTCGTACACCCGAAAATCACGAAAACCTGGGCGCCCTTCACCCCATTGCCCTGAACTGGGCAGACGGACTGCGCATTGAAAAAGTATGGCTTGCGATGATGTCTGATTATTAGTAGAATATGACCCTAAACCCTGAACCCCAAACCTTGAACCCTGAACTCTAAACCCTCAACCCTAGACCCACTTACACCTAAGCCATCATGGAGATACAGAGCTATCCCGTCCCTTGCTCTGCTTACTTTCGCCAAGCTCTGGGTCCTAGACGAGGCCCCCCCCCACCCCGCATCTGGGCTTAGCCGTAACCCTGAACCCTAAGCCCTAAACCCTGAACCCTAAACTCTAACCCTAAACCCTAAACCCTAAACCCTAAACCTTGAACAAGAGCCTCCTCCCCCCCCCCCCTCCCCCAGGATGGAGATGGCCTGACTGCTTGTAGAGATCGCTGACGTGGTAGTCGCGACGATCCAGTCCTTGTTTTAGGGTTTAGGGTTTAGGGTTTAGGGTTTAGGGTTTAGGGTCTAGGGTTTCGGGTTTAGGCTTAGTTTCTTGTTGTCGCCCTCGTGAATGGATTATGTCTCCCTCTGTCTAGTGTACTAGACCTCATTGCCACAAGCCCGTTGAGGGTTTAGGCTGTGCTCAGGGCAACTTACAAGACATGTAGTCAGGCAGAGGAAGGCTTTCACGCATTCCTTGTACAGATGGCATCTCTAAACAATGCTTGTACATATGGATTGCCCCTTATCCACACAGTCCTTCATAGGGATGAGAAGGGGGTACGCTAATCCATATTAAGGACTGTTCTATACTTCCCTTAGAACCTTAATATTTTTAAATACCCTCTTGGTTTTTATATAAACAAGAACAAAAAATAATTCCCAACGGGGATCTAGTGTTAGTATAAGGGGGAGCATCCCAACCTGCAAAGCGCCAGGGTGTGGAGCCTTTAAGCTTGCCGTTTTGCATCATGTCGGTGAGAGGGAAGGAGCCTCCGAACGCAGCCCATCTGGGAGCTTCTCAACATTCTGGTCCCCCTCTCAAAATTCCTATGATAGCACCGTTTTGGGCACCTATAGTGTCCCTAAACTAAACCCTAAACCCTAAACCCTAAACCCCAATCGGGCACCTAGTCTTGAGCTCGCGGCTGCTCTGCAGCTCTTTGCGCTTCTGCTCGTACTGGGCGAAAATCACGCGAGCTTGCTTGCCTCGGTCGGAACTTCACGGTTCAGGGCTTCAGGCTTTTGGGCGTTTTTAGGGGGGGTTTAGGGTTTAGGGTTTAGGGTTTAGGGTTTTTAGGGTTTTTAGGGTTTAGGGTTTAGGGTGTAGGGTTGAGGGGAGTTCCCACTGCTTGTTGATAAAGGTCAGATAGCTGCAAGGTGGAGGGCATTAGTGATTCAGGCCATTGGGGTAAATCCCCCTAAACCCTAAACCAGAAACCCTAAACCCTAAACCCTAAACGAAGGGCTTAGGAGCTTGTGATTCGTTGGACACCGCCAAGCCACTGTCTGAAAATCTTGCTCGTTCATAGTGAGAACTTAGAGGCAAGCCCTCAAGGTCCATATACGGGTTTAGGGCTTGGGGTTTAGGGTTTAGGGTTTAGGGCTTAGGGTTTGGGGTTTAGGGCTTGGGGTTTAGGGTTTAGGGTTTAGGGTTTAGGGTTTAGGGTTTAGGGTTTAGGGTTTAGGGCTTAGGGTTTACGGCCCTTGTACCTCATTCGTATATACTTAGGACTCAAAGCCCCTCTGTAGGCAGTCCTTTAAGGCCCAAGTATTCCCTATTTAGGTACATGGACCCTCAGGGAAGGGACAAGGGTACCCATGGGGAACTCTTCACGGGCTTTGGGCTCAGTGTAGCAGATCCCTTAAAGGGGTCATGTCGGGGGACATGTAGTACCTAGATCCTCCATTCCTGAGTAAGAGCTGGTAAGAGAAAATGCACCCTAAACCCTAAACCCTAAACCCTAAACCCTAAACCCTAAACCCTAAACCCTAAACCCCAAACCCTGCCGTAGCAGGAAATGGTAAGAAACGCGCAACCTCTGAGTCGGCCACCCGTCTCCAGCCACACCGCCAGCTCATTCATCTGGCGATGCAAGGAAGGTGCCCCCAAACCCTAAACCCTAAACCCTAAACCCTAAACCCTAAACCCTAAACCCTAAACCCTAAACCCTAAACCCTAAACCCTAACCCTAAACCCTAAACCCTAAACCCTGAACCCTAAACCTGTAGGGTTTAGAATTTAGGGTTTCGGGGGCCTGAGGGCCTAGACCCTCAACCGACTCTTCACCAAAGCTGCCTAACCTAACTCACATTGAAACAGAGGCACGTACCCTATTCTTTAGGCTGTACCAACTTCAGGAGACCAATGTTTAGGGTCCGGTTTGCCCGAAGTCTAATCACTCCCAAGCCCCTAAGCCCCACGAGCCCTAAACCCTACAAAGCCACACACCCCTGAATCCGTAAATTTGCCACCCCCCCAAATCCTACACTTCAAACCCCCAAACTCCAAACCCTAAACCCTGAACCCCAAAAACCAAAAAAAAAAACAAAACACCCCCCCCCCCCCAAAAAAAAAAAAAAAAACCTAAACCCGAATTCCCCTAAAACGGGCCTTGCGGCGAAATCTCTTCCAGCAGCTGTCCGGGCCTAGAGGCCGAAATCCTAAACCCTGACACATGCTAACCCTCTTTATGTTGTTTTTGGGTTTTTTGGGTTTAGGGTCTTTAGAGTTTAGGAGTTTGGGGTGTAAGTTTTAAGTCTTGAGGGTTAGGGCCAAGACATTGCGAGGGTCTAGATACAGGCCTTCAGGCTCAGGGTTTTGATCATGTTGGAAAAAAGACCTTCAACCACAAGCCCTACGGACATAGGGGATGTCATCCTGGCCAGACGCACATGCCATGAGGACGTGGGGCCATTTTGGAATGTTTTTGCCAGTGAAAGAGGTCCCTTGGGAAATGATGAAATTTCACAAAGGGGCTGTACGAAATCGCGATCCCAAGCAGTGGGAGCACGATGTCAATCCAAAACTTGCACACGCCTCGAGTGGGAGCAAGATTTACCTAAACCCTAAGCCCTAAGCCCTAAGCCCTAAACCCTAAACCCTAAACAGATGGACGTGTGGTCCACGGCCTAAAGCCAGGCGGCCACACGATTCCCTTGCGTTCAGGCGCGCGGCGTGAGGTCACAAGACCAATGCCAAGAGTATTGTCATTCCCCCAAAACAGGGTGCCCTTAATGAATTCACCTCCAGAATAGTAGAACCCTAAACCCTAAACCCTAAACCCTAAACCCTAAACCCTAAACCCTAAACCCCCACAAGGAAACCCCCATATGGGCACATTTGGGTTTTCGGGTAGATGCGATCCTGAGACCTTCGAGCCCCTAAACTGCAACTAGTGGACCTACACCTGAACCCTAAACCCTAAACCCTAAACCCTAAACCCTAAACCCTAAACCCTAAACCCTAAACCCTAAACCCTAGAGCTGAAGCAATCCTTGACGCGACCTGCTGGGGGCCCCCCACCAAGGCGCCGGATCTTCCGCTTGTTGGTGGTTTTGGGGTCGAACTGGATCATCTCATGGAAGAACCTCTGCGCTCCGCGGACGGTTGCAAACTAAGTAGGCTCTCTGGGTCCCGGTTCAAGGGGCTACATTATGGGGTTCAGGGTTTGGGTTTAGGGGGAACCCTCCCCGACCACTAAACCCTAAACTTGGGATGTTCCCCCTTACGTAAAAAGCCCTAATAGGGATGGTCATAGGAGGTACATTAATCCCAAGGACTGTTAGTAGAAGGGGGAACATCCCAACCCTGGACCCCCAACTCCAGAACAAAAAACCCCTAAACCCCTAGTCCCAGGAAACCCCCAAAACCCTGAACCCTAACCCCTATAAACCCCAAACCCCTAAACCCTATAAACCCTAAACCCCCCCCGGGAACGGGGCGCCCCAAACCCCTGGGAGGCCGCGCAGCTCCATGGGCGTGTCGTCCATCTTTCCGGTCCTGCAGTCTGGGGGTTGAGGGTTTGGTAGGGTTCAGGGTTAAGGGTTTAGGGTCTCTAGAGTTTGTAGGGTTTAGGGCTAAGGGTTTAGGGCCTCTAGGGTTTGTAGGGTTTGTAGGGTTTAGGGTCAAGGGCTTAGGGTTTGTAAAGTTTAGGCTTAAGGGTTAAGGGTTAAGGGTTGAGGGTCTGGGGTCGAGGTTTCAGGGTTTACTGAGGCGGCTGTATTCTCACAGGGCCCAGGGAGGGGACCATACTCTGCAAAGCCATCTTCATCTAGGAACCAAGGGGGATTCAATGTAAGTTAGGGGTCTGGGGTTTAGGGTTCAATTAGGGTTTAGGGGGTTTAGGGTTTATAGGGCTTAGCAAAAGCCATCTTCATCTCGGAGCCAAGGGGTTCAAGGTGGCAGGATTCTGCCAAGATAGGGTTTCGGGTAGACCTGGGCACGCAAGGTGTACTTCTATAGTACCCTGGTTTAGGGTTTAGGGTTTAGGGCTTAGAGTTTAGGGCAGGAAGACCCTCCACCAGAGCTGTCCAAGTAAGATTCCTAAAGCTTTCGGGTACTCGGCGGGGAGGACTCTATGCAGCACATCTGCAGAGCTTTAGTTGCAAAGCAGGAGGTATGCGTAAGGTCGCACATGCTTTGGAGGTTCATGGGCACTCATCAGTAGGGTTATAATAAGTAGGGTAACTATGGCAAGGGCCTTACTTAGGGTACGTATAACCCTACTTATTAGTACCCACTCCGACAACCTGAAGCCTTGCAGAATCAGAAGCGGCTGGAAGCACAACTTAAAGAGTTGACGCCACTTCGGTGACCCAAATTTCGTGCACAGAAGAACCTTGGCAATCTTGCCTTCGTCGCAGAGCATCAACCAGTGCAGTTCCACACGAACACATGTCTCATTCCGCATGCTAAAGGCGGTCTACTCGCGCTATCTAGCCACGCAGAAAGGCCGCGCCCAGCCTGCGCAGGCTCCTCATCTGTCCCTTCGCGGACCTTCCTTGCCTGCTCCAGAGACTGCTACTGATGGTTCCCAAACCCTAAACCCTAAACCCTAAACCCTAAACTCTAAACCCTAAACCCTAAAACTTGTGAGCTGCTCCATGCTGAAGCCGTCTTGAACACGGGCGCGCTGCAGGAATGTTTCGGCCGGAGGTATAGGAACTCTTGCTTCGTGGCCGTGTCGAGCTCATCCTGCGACAAGGGCCTGGCGTTCAGCAACTTCACCACGAAGCTGAGGACGTTGTCTGGCTGGTGCTTCGTAGGGCATGAGGGAATGAAGGCCCTATATAATCCCTTAAAGCGTAGATATAGGGCCCTCATCCCTCATTCCCTACTACGAACCCGGGCACTTCTGGGAGTAGACGCACCCAGTCCAAGTCGCCCCTAGAAGGCCAAAGTAGCCCTAAACACTAGCCCTAAACCCTAAACCCTAAACCCTAAACCCCAACAACCCATCCGAAAACACCTTGGAACCCCTTACAGTCGGATTCTGGACTTGGGGGGCAATAGGCTTAGGGGCTTGGGTTTACACTAGGGTTTAGGGTTTAGGGTTTGGGGTTTAGGGTTTAGGGTTTAGGGTTCAGAAACCCCAGGGTCGCCTCAATAGCCACAAGAGCTCACATGTCTCTGGAAAAGGACCCCAAAACCCCTAAGGTACTAAAGGGTGGAGGATTTAGGGTTACAGGGTTATAGGGTTTAGGGATTTAGGGTTGGGGCTTTGGGTTCATGAGATTTAGGGATTGAGGTGTAAGGCTTAGGGTTCAACATCTTCAAGCCCTTGGCCCCTGAATCTTGAACAGGATCGGGACTGAGCATCTTGCTTCAGCCGCACGTTCCCCAGCCCTCGCTGGTAAGCATCTTCGATCCGCGCCGTCCTGGGCTTCTACAGGGGCTAGAAGAAGGGACCCCTAGAAAACAGGGACCCTTAATCTTATTCACCTATATAAACCCTATATATATATATACACACCTTATATAGTCCCTCTATGCCAAAGTAGCACCCGAATCACCCGTAAATAACCCCTAAGGTCCCTTATAAGGGTCCCTCCTGTCGTCCCTTGAGGGATAGGCTTTGGGGCTTCGGGTTCAGGGTGTCGGCTAGGGTGAAGGCACTACGCAAATTTGGATTTAGACCCTAAACCCTAAACCCTAAACCCTAAACCCTAAACCCTAAACCCTAAACCCTAAACCCTAAACCCTAAACCCAAGACTGAGGCTTTCTAGCCATGCAAGGGCCCCAAGATGCCAGAAGTGCCAGCTCTTCGACCCGAAGCCCCAGAAACCCGAACCCCCCCTTAGCTTCAACACCCCAACACATTCCAAACCCTCAGCCCTCAACCCTACAGGGTTTAGGGTTTTGTTGGTTTAGGGTTTAGGGTTTAGGGTTTAGAGTTTAGGGTTTAGGGTTTAGGGTTTAGGGTTTAGGGTTTGTGGTTTAGGGTTTAGGGTTTAGGGTTTAGGGTTTAGAAAGCCGAATCTTAAACTGCCAACCCCCCAAATCCTGAACCGAAACTCCTGGAGACCCTTCCCAAGGCCCCCACGAACGGGGGTCGTAGCTCTTGAAGCCGGTGCGGTGCAGCCACTGCCACACCTGACTATGGATGGAGGAGTGGGGGGGGTGGGGTTTGGGGTTTGGGGTTTAGGGTTTGGGGTTTAGGGTCTAGGGTTCAGGGTCTAGGGTTTCGGGTTTAGGGCTTATGAATCTTAGCAGGGCATGATTCAGATTGTACCACCTACTCCCAACAGCAGGCGCCCTACATTTTTGAAAAGGTGCATCCGCCCAACGATCGCGTCGCATTCCCATAGGGAAGCCCCGACCCTAAACCCAAAAAACCTCTAAATCTTGTTGGGATGTTCCCCTTGTACTAACAGTCCCTAATAGTGATTATAACGGGGGTACCACAATCCCTATTTAGGACTGTTAGCAAAAAGAGGGAACATCCCAACCCTAAACCCTAAACCCTGAAGCCTAAACCCTAAAACCACTAAATCCCTGACTCTTGAATCATTAAGCTTCCTTCAAAGCCCTATAAGCCCTCAATTCCCAAGGCCCCGGCGACTTCGCCGTCTGCTGGGGGCGTGGTCTTCTCGCTGTTCCAGAGGACGGCTGGGCGGCACTGGTGCTAAGCAACCCTGGAGGGCCATTTCGGGCTCGTAGGGTCTAGGGTTTAGGCACTAACTGGGGCGGCCCTGCAGCCCTGAACCCTTAAAAGCCCCAAACCCTCAAGCCCCATCCCTAAACCCTAAACCCTAAACCCCAAACCCCAAACCCTAAACCCTAAACCCTAAACCCTAAACCCCAATCCCTAAACCCTAAACCCCAAACCCTAAACCCCAAAAAAACCTTGGCAACCCAGAGCTTGCAACCTTCCAGTCCTGCAGCCCTGCTGCCGGATAGGGCTTCGAGGGCAGCCCAAGCCAACCCCCCCAAGCAAGACTGCAGCAAACAAAGCAAAGCCCTAAACCCCAAGCCCTAAATGCAAAACCTTAAACCCTAAACCCCAAACCCAACAAAAAAGCAAAGCCTTAAACCCTAAACTAAACCCCAAACCCTGGAACTCTTGAAACACATTGGCCGAGTCTGGGGCTTCCCCCTGTCCAGGAGGGGCGAAACCTGGGCACCGGGGTCCTGGACGTTGCTTGGGACTTAGGATTTCGGGCTAGGGTGTAGGGTTTAGGGCTAGGGTTGAGGGTTTAGGGTTTAGGGTTTAGGGTTTAGGGTTTAGGGTTGAGGGATTCGGGCTCAGGGTTTTGTGGGTTTGAAGTTGGTTTAGGGTCAAGGGTTTAGGGGTTACGGTTAAGGGCTCAGGATTTCGTGGATTTTGGTTTAGGGTGTAGGTTGAGGGTAAAGTGATCAGAATTTGTGGGTTTGGTTTTGGGTTAAAGGTTCAGGGTTTGTGGTTTTTGGTTTAAGGTTCAGAGGGGTTCGTGGGTTTTGGGGACTGGGGCCAGATACAAAAATGGCACAGACACTCAGTGCAGTGAGCCGCATGTGCGTCGCCCCCCTGGACCTAGAACTTAAACACCCCAAATCCTAAACCCTAAACAATCGAGCTTCCCTGAACCCTCAACCACACCCGGGACCTCCCTAAACCCTACACACACCTTATAAACCCTATAAACCCTATGTACCCTATAAACTCTGCAAACCCTATAAACCGTATGAACCCTATAAACCCTGTAAACCCTTTAGACCCTATAAACCCTGAACCTAAACCCTATACCCCAAACCCTAAACCCTATAAACCCTAAACTCTAAACCCTAACCCGAAACCCTAAACACCTTATAGACCCTAAAAAACCCTATAAACCCTAAACCCTACCAAAATGCCGGATGCTCCTCCGCTGTTCCTTGGGAACCTCCTCAGGCGATTCTGGATGCACCCGGTGGTCCTTCAGCTTACTGTTGGTTAGTAGGCTTAGGGTTTAGGGTTTAGGGTTTAGGGTTAGGGTTTAGGGTTTAGGGTTTAGGGTTTAGGGTTTAGGGTTTAGGGTTTAGGGTTTAGGGTTTAGGGTTTAGGGTTTAGGGTTTAGGGATCTACAGGGCCCTAATTCCCTCATTCCCTGCTAGCCTAACAGTAAGTCAGCAGCTTGCGGGTGCTCAGGTGGTGCAGCGTTTCGGGTGTAGGGTTTGGGGTTTAGGGATTAGAGGGTTGGGGTTTAGGGTTTAGGGTTTAGGGCTTAGGGCTTAGGGCTTAGGGCTTAGG